GCTCTTACAAAAAAGAGTTATATAAGGATCAGGATAGCCACCAGAGAATGCTAGTATTCTGAAGATATAGACCTGTGAAACCATTAAATGACAGAAAAAAAGGACAAAATGTACCTTTATGTAGTCAACAAGATTTTGATATTCAATGTAGTTGCCTCCTCCCACCACAAAAACAATTGCCTAAATGCAAACGAAAAAAATTAGGTAGGATGAAAGAAATAGTTAAAAGTGTTTAAATTATTTAAGCAACATGGTTTTTAGGTTGTGATCTATTCTATAATTGAAACAAAAAAAATAGCTAGTGAAAAGTCAAATTCTAAACAATTACTATATTAAAACATTTGTTTTAAAAAAGTCTGTAAAATTTATACATTTTTAAGGAGTGGTAAAAGTGAAACATAAGGTCCAGCACATGATGTCATGGTTATGTCACTGGACTCCCACTTAGTCAGCTGTGGTTTGAGTCCCTGACTGATGACTTAAAACTCACACTGGATATGTGAGCGTGCGTGCCCAAGATTCTGAGAGAAGAATGGAGGAGACGGGACTGCAGCGTGGCCATCCCCGCAGGGGTGATTTCTCGCTTTCTGTCTCTCTGGTGAGCATACGTGCCCTATAGCAAAAATCTCTCTCTCACAAAAAAAGGGGGGGGGAATAGAGCTTTTCCCATAACAATTTAGAGAGGAACAACTATTTTTCAATGAAATAATAGCAAATAAATCTAAAGGGCTTTCTCCAAAGGCTATTTTTTTTAGTCTGAGATTATTTATTATAGGCAGGAAAATTAGAAAACCTAGGACTTATATAATTTCCAATATATTTATTGTATTTGTTTTTACTGAGGAACTTCTCTGTATTTCAAATGAAAACAAGTCACAATATAGGCACACAAATGTTTCAAATCCAATTTTTAAAGTTTCAAACATATAAAATGCTCAATGTAATTTGAATGACTTTTTCTGAATTATTTAATTTTGTCAGTTATTTTAAAGCTTAAACTATTATAAGTATAAGCAACTTTATAAATCAGGAAAATAAAATTGCTAAGTATTTTTTGAAGACTTTTGGATATTCAGAATTGGATTTATCAAGATTATCATATACTACTATTAATAAAGCCATGTGTAGGCTACAGATATTAAGACTACTTGATTATCTTTTCATTTTTTCTTTCTAGGAGCAAAGAATTTTCATATGGAGCTTACCTCTTGGAATGGGTTTTTGTTCCTGGGAACTGAGCTGTAATTAAAAAAAAAATTAACTGAAAATTTCACATATGGCTTTTAGCATGGATAAAGCAGGCATGGGAACACACACATGCTCATGTATTAACAAATAGATGTTTACAATTCTACCTCCTTCACCTCCTTAAGATGGTGAGTGCTTTAGTTTTGCAGAGTTAGGTGGTAAACTGGGATGCAGAGGGAGAAGCTATATAGAAGAGGTAAGTATCACCATCTTTAAAAGTGAATGGAGGGGACCAGGAGTTAGTGTAATGGCAATGTTGCTCGACTCCCATGTAGTCGACTGCGGTTTGAGTCCCGGACCCAGGGGAGCTTAAACTCACATCGGGTGTGTGTGCGTGCGTGCCCAAGATCCTGAGAGGAGGATGGAAGAGAAGGGACTGTGGCGTGGCCATCCCTCCCTGGGGGGTGATTTCTTGCTTTCTGTCTCTCTGTCTCTGTCTTTCTGGTGAGCGCATGCATCCTATAGCAAAGTCTCCAAAAAAAGGAAAAAAAAAAAAAAGTGAATGGACAACCTAGTGACTTCAAAGCAAAATCCAAGAGGGTGAGCCAGGTGGAATGGTAGTTAAAGCAGCTAGACCCCAAATAGCTGACTGCATGGTTCAGAGTCCTAGACCCAGTGGCTTTAAAAACATGCTGAGAGTATGTGCATGTGTGCCCAAAAATCCCAGGAGAGGAATGAGGAGAAAAAGACAGTGGTGTGGTCATCCCCCAGGGAGTACTCTCTCATTTTCTCTGTCTCTTTCCAGCAAGCACATGTATCCTATCAAAACAAAACAAAACAAAAGGCAAAAACAAAACTCCAAAGATTGAGCAGCAGTTCCCAAGAGTGAAGATCGGGTATAAAGTGAGTTGATAAAATATACTTTGTCACACTCAAAACAATATTCTATAGTTTGTGATGTGCATTTGTGCCGTGGAAAACCTTTACAAACACATGTATGGGAAGAATAACAACTCAAGAAGGAAAGAGGGAATGAAAGAAAGGAGCTACATTTTGATCTACCTTGGTTTTGTCTTTATTACATACTCAAAAAAGATTTTCTTAGTATTCAAAAGCTCTTTAATAAAGAGTTTTCAAAGCTTTTATGAGTCAGATTTATCTTTGTTTTGAGCGCTAAAATAGCTTGTCTGATGTGAATTAAAATGATAACTTAAGATATTCCTTAAGGGTAATTTCTGAAAATCTTAATTAAGAAGAGAAAGCTATCATAACCTCTTTTAACTGATCAGAGGCTGATCACATGGGCCTATCATCTTTCCCTCATTTCTATCGCCTGTCTGAATATTCCATGCAACAGAAAACTAAACATCCACTTGATAGAAATGCCTCATCAAGGTTTAACTTTTCCTGTAGTATTGTAAGTTCCTCTAAGAGTAGATATGGGCTGAGGAGAAGTAAGATTTGATTAGCACAGAATTATTAGCTAATACAAAACAAGATTTAATTTTGATGAGATAGTTTAGAAGGCTGTTAAAAATGAAACTTGGGGGACCAGCAGACAGTGTAATGGTTACATCACAGGACTTCCACTGAGTCGACCGCAGTTCAAGTCCTGAACCTGGTGGATTGAAACTCAACCAGGTGGGTGTGTGTGCGTGCCCAAGATCCTGAGAGGAGAATGAAGAAGGGATGGCAGCATGGCAATCCTTCCTGAGGGGGTGATTTCTTGCTTTCTGTGTCTCTCAATCTCTCCAGTGAGTGCATGTGCCCTATACCAAAAATTTCCTTAAAAAAAGGGAACCAGCAGTTAGCGTAATGGCTATGTTGCTGGACTCCCACATGGTCGACCGCGGTTCGCGTCCCAGGCCTGGTGGCTTAAAACTGACACCGGGCGCATGTACGTGCGTGCCCAAGATCCTGAGAGGAGAATGGAGGAGAAGGGATTGTGGCGTGACCATCCCCCCTGGGGGGTGATTTCTCGCTTTCTGTCTCTATGTCTCTCTCTGTCTGGCGATCGCACGCGCCCTATAGCAAAAACCTCTCCAAAAAAAAAAAAAGAAAAGAAAAGAAACTTGGGGCTCAGCTGTGGTGGTGCTCCAAAAAAAAAAAAGAAAAGAAAAGAAACTTGGGGCTCAGCTGTGGTGGTGAACAGGTAATGCCATGGCTTGGGAAGCTGGAAGTTCCATGAGAGGAGGCCCAGGTTCAGCTCCCTGGCCAATCCAAACATGCTGGCACAGTTGTATGCATCTCTCATCCTAGCTACTTGGGAGGTAAGGCCAGACAGATCTGGACCCAATTATACTTGGTCTAGAAAAAAACAGAAACAAAAACTCTTCTCTTTCTCTCCTTTTCCCCTCTCTCTCATAAAGAAGGAAAGAAAGCTTGAAGCTGACCTGTTTCATCAATGCTAATATTCCTCCTCATTATCATGCATAAACTACAATTACGACTAAAAATTACTCAGTAAATTTTGAAAAAGCAAAATAAACCTACTTGTTAATTAAATGTAAGCAAGAGAAAAAAACGTACACTGGAGAATTACCAGTGTAGAAAAAGACTCGCAAGTCTACGATTTTCAAAGTATATGCACTCAGTGGTTTTTAGGACATACACAGAGCTGTACAACTATCACTGCCTACTTTCAGAAAATTGTTATCACCCGAAAAGAAGCCATTTATCCATTAGCAGTCAGTTCTCATTTCTCCTTCCCATAATTTATCCCTTGTCAAATTCTTGCCAATTGCAGTCATTATTAGCAGCTTCTTACACTCTCTGGCAGTAGTTGTTGTAAGTTAAGAGAGAAAAACATTTTAAGTTACCAAATAATTCAATACTCTAGCGATTAGTTTATCTATCCCAAATACTGACAAAAATGTGAAAGCTTGGGACAGAGCAAATACGAAGTTCTGAAGATTCCAAACATAAGACTCAGGAAAGAAGTTAGCTTTATATAACTTTTAGAACTACAGACAATTATTCCAAGTGGTTATTTTCCCCTCCTAATTCTACTCATTCTTTTTTGGTATATTGTAGGCTATTTTTTTTTTTTATATATATTGCCATGAAATACACCTTGAAAAGCAGTATTTTTCATAAATAAAAAATGCTTTACCATGCCATGTCTGTTATAAAATACAGAAATTATTTATAGAATGTCTCATTGCCATGAAGTGTTATTTAGAGCAATGGTTCCCAGGAACTTGGATTTTATACATTAAATTAAAAAAATCAACTGGAATCCAACATAGAACTCCTATCTTTTCATTTGGTCTAATAAAAATATTGTTTTAAAAACGCATGTTTGGACTAGCAGATGGTGTAGTGGTTACGATGCTGGACTCCCAAATGGCCGACTCCAGTTTGAGTCCTGGACCGGTGGCTTTAAAATCACACTGGGTGTGTATGTGTGCATGCCCAAGAGCTCAGAGGGAGAATGGAGAAGGGACTGTGGTGTGGTCATCCCCCTGGGTAGGTGATTTCTCACTTTCCCTTTCTGTCTCTCTTTGGTGAGCGCACATGCCCTAAGGCATTTTTTAATTTAACACATTAAAAAAATACAAAAACGAAAAAACCACCCCACACATACAAGTTATCCAAATCTGTCCCCCACATTGGTGTGTTATATCTCTATTATTTCATAAAAAGGACTCTAAATGTATTTGTATGTGTGTCCATGTGTATATATGTGTGTGTGTGTGTATGTATTTAGAAGAAAAAAACACCACACCAAAATGCTAAATAAAATTACTATTGATTATCTCTGGGTAATGAGATTGAACATACTGTTTTCTTACTGGTCTTCTTTATGGTTTGGATTTTTAATAATAAGCAGTATTGCTTTATAGTGAAAAATCAATTATTTTCACTTTTGAGAGGGAAAAAAAAATCCATAAAAGATAACATAAGACAAAAGTTACCTACCTGTCATTGCCCCGCAGCATTTTGGGATCAAAGTATCTATAGTCATCAGTTTCCTATCAAAACAAAAGAACTTTACCATGAATATGGAATTTCTCTTTAGACAGTCATAATTTGGCTTAGAAAATCATACTTTAAATAATCTCTCAATTTTGTAGATTATACAGAAACCCAATACTCGGTGAGCACACACTATGTGCTAACCTTTGTAAGTGCTTTATATAATATCACTCACTCCCCACAATAGTCTATCAGGTAGTTACTGTTATCCTCATTTTTCTGATGGGCAAACTGGATTCTAGAGAGGCTACATTTCTATAAGAAAACTTAACTTAGTGTCAGAATCTTTCAACACTTTGCTCCAAAAAACCAGTACAGCCAAGATAAAATCTGATACCCTGTCATAATTTCAACTTATTCAATTAAGATAAATCAAAGAACACTCTAAGTGATAAGAATCCATCCTACTAAAAGTAGGTTTTAGTCCCAATTCTGCTACTAGAAGTAAGTAGTAACCTAACATCTGTGTTACCTTTCCTTGTTAAAATGACTTCTAATGTTTTTTAAAATGCTGCATTTCTGTGATTCTATGAAGGAATCAATACCCTAATCAATGCAGCCTAATGGTTAAACATTTGGCCTGTGGTTAGAATCCCAATTCTGCCATTTATTAGCCTTGTGTCTTTTGGGCAAGTAAATTGACCTTGTTGTACTAGTCTCCTCACCTATAAAACGAGCATAATAGTACTTTTCTCAGAAGATTCTAATATGGATTAAAATGAGATAACAAGTGAAAATGTTTTGCATGGTTCATAATACTCGATATATCTCCCCTTGAAGATTAGAGAGTAACGAAATACCCTAAACTTCCTTAACCTCTGTTCCCCTATATATTTGACAACTAAATTCTTGAATTTATTTGTGTTACTATTTATTAGTATTTAGAATATTTTCCAGGTTTACTGCCTATTATGACACAATATTCACTAAAACAATCATACATGTAAACCTCAGTCTTTTCAAGAAGAACCTCTTCTTCATAAATTCCAGCAGGTAGTGAGACAGTCTATTACTACCTTGTATACCACTTTACCTGTATTGACTCCCAGATAAAAGAATCCAATCATTTTTAGCTTAAAATTATTGACAATTCTCCCATTCTTCATAATTGCCCTTTTTTAGTATGTTTTGTTACACTATATCTTTGTTTTCACATAAGTGAATTTTAAAATTTGTGTTACTTCCTTTAATGTTATTACAATCATATATTAACAATTACAGAGAAATGTCACACTACTCTGAAGAGTCTATTCTTATACTCTTCCTTAGGCCTGAAATCCTACACCTCACTGCCAAGTCTACAGTGATTCAGATCAACTCAACCTGTTTTAATGTGGGTAAGATTAGGCTACCTTTCCAGACTCTTGTCATGACAACCACCTTTTGGTTGCCACAACAACAGGATAAGAAATTTTGTGAAACAGACTGTGATGATTTTTATATTCATTTCTTGAATTGTAACCAGATAGTTTGGAAATACACCCTTTAAGTAAAAGCTAACAACATTTACTCATTTGTCTTTTCACACAATCTCTCTCAACAATTTACTTTTCAGCTTCAAAGGAATTTAGTGCCATCTAAGCATATGCACTTAAAAATTTCAATCCTCTAATTTAATTTTCATAAAATTAAATTGGTCTAGGTACTCTTTATACTATGCCAAAGGATGCTCACTGGTTCCTTTCCCCTTAGAGAAAGTTGCTCCTTAGGATATATTTCACACTTAACTATACATATAGGATATAATCTATATTTAATTTGGATGAGAGCTGGCTGGAATGGCTATAGTAGAAAATAATTCTTAATATCTGTGGTATAGCTTTAAAAAGCTCTTTTTAGAATTTGACTTTTTTCTTTCATGTCCACTGTTGTGATTAAGCTCACAAACAAACCAATCTGACTTAATTATAACCTTTCATACTAGTCGGCTTGATACAGTCAAGAATTTACAGGTATAATGTTATATGCTACTCACAGGGTTCGACTTCATCTCCATGAGATTGTCTAAAATACGAGTTACTGGTAGATTCTGTGAAAAAGATTAGTAAGCATTTGCTTAAGTATTAGAACAACACACCGAAGTTCATCTCTATTAACAAAATAACAGAATTATCCTACAGTTATGAATGTTTCAATTTAATAAAAAATTACATATATTTGGAGAATGTTTGTAAAGATGATGTCACAGATGTAAATGCTTTTTTTTGGGGGGGGGGGAGAAGTTTTTGCTATAGGGCACGTTTGCTCATCAGAAAGAGACAGACAGACAGAAAGCGAGAAATCACCCCCCAGGGAGATGGCCACACAGCAATCCTTTCTCCTCCATTCTCCTCTCAGGATCTTCGGCATGTACACACATGTGCCCAGCGTGAATTTAAGCCACCAGGTCCGGGACTCAAACTGCAGTGGACTACATGGGAGTCCAACGACATAGCCATTATGCTAACTGCTGGTTCCGACCCCTGTATCTTACAGATGAGGAAATCATACAATATATAAAGTGATATTTTTCAAAACCATGGTATGTCAATGGCAATAAAAAAAAGAAAACAGAATTACATGGAGCCAATAAAACACACCCATCCCTCTATCACCCAGCTTCAACAACTACTAACCCAGGGTAAATCTTTTTTTTTTTTTTGGAGAGGTTTTTGCTATAGGCTACGTGCGCTCACCAGAAAGACAGAGACAAAGAGATAGAAAGCGAGAAGTCGCTCCCTGGGGGGACAGCCACACCGCAATTCCTTTTCCTCCATTCTTCTTTCTGGATCTTGGGCATACATGCACATGCGGTGTGAATTTAAGCCACCGGGTCTGGGATTCAAACCGCGGTTGAATACATGGGAGTCCAGCAACGTAGCAATTACGCTAACTGCTGGTCCCTACAAATCTTATTTCTATACATTCTCCATTCCCTTCAATTGTTTTATAACAAGTACTGATATAAAATCATTTTAGTCATAAATAATTGAGTACATATCTCTAAAATATAAGAACTCTTAAAAAAAAAAAACCCTGGGAACCAGCAGTTTGCGTAATGGCTATGTCGCTGGACTCCCACGTAGTCGACCGCGGTTTGTGTCCCGGGCCCGGTGGCTTAAAACTCACGCCGGGCGCGTGTGCGTGCGTGCCCACGATCCCGAGAGGAGAATGGAGGAGAAGGGATTGAGGCGTGACCATCCCCCCTGGGGGGTGATTTCTCGCTTTCTGTCTCTGTGTCTCTCTCTGTCTGTCTGGTGAGCGCATGCGCCCTACAGTGAAAATCTCTCCAAAAAAAAAAAAAAAAACAAACCCTAACACTATTATTACACCTAAAATAATTAACAATAATTTAATTTCCACCTTCTCTCTGAGATATGATTGATATGTGAAAACTGTACATTTTTTTTTATGGTGTATGACATGATGTTTTGATATACATACACATTGTGAAGTGATTACTATACAGCTCAATATCAATATTAAAATATCCTGTTTTTTTTTTTAATAGGAAAACACTTTTTTTAGTTTTCTTGGTCAAATCATAATCTGTTTTCAAAAGAATTATTTAATTTTATTTATTTAAATTTGATGAGAGAGAAAGTGAGAAAGCAAGCCACCAGGTCGAGGACTCAAACTGTGGTTGGTCGAGGACTCCCAACTGTAGTGGGAGTCCAGTGCTCTTGAACACCACACTGCCAATCTCAAGTCAAATCATAATCTTAAATGTCACAGATCAGATTGAAATTAGATATGTCTTTTTTAAATCTATGGATTCCCACTGCTTGCAATTAATTGGGTTGTCGGAATAGTCATTACATTTTTTCCTATGCAATAATGCATCATCGCTTTTTTGATGACCCAAAGTTTATTGTTAATTCATTTTAAGAATACTTATTTCCACAGCGAGTGTGTGTGGGGGGAACAAGCCAACAGGTCTAGGACTCAAATCACAGTCGGCCAGATGGGAGTCCAGTGCCTTTAACCACCATGCCACTTGCCAGCCCCAGACTGTTAATTCCCTTTTAAAAGAAATTATGGCTGACTGCAGTTTGAGTCCCAGACCAGGAGGCTGGAAACTCATGCTGGGCGCATGTCCACGTGTGCCCAAAGTCTTGAGAGGAGAATGTAAGAGAAGTGATTGCAGTGTGGCCATCCCCCTCACCCCGGGGGGGGTTATTTCTCGCTTTCTGTCTCTCCGGTGAGTGCACATGCCCTATAGCAAAAATCTCTCTTTAAAAAATAATTATTTTAGCAAGCAAGCCAATGACAGTAAAATAGGACTTTTAAATTATGCAACTTTGTGCTACATTATTCATCATCACATTCTTGTACAATTATCCTCACACAAAAATATTCCAAATCTGTGAATAACATTCAACTGGTTTTATTTGACAGTTAATACTTGTGATGCATAAAACTTATGCTGCTCAGAAAACAAAGTATAAAAAGCTCTCATAAGTGACCTAGAAAACTGGACATAGCTAACTCTATTTTTGTGCCTAATTAATTCATGGCTTAAATTGTTTGTTTAGATAAAAATTCAAAACAATGTTTAGAGATATAAGAGGCATAAATTACTCATACTATTTCAAATATGAAATGGAACTGAACTCTAGCATTCTCTTCTTTGATACCTCTTACAAAGTAAACTCTTAGTTGCCACACTGCCCCCATCTCTTATTGTAGTGCCTCTAAATCTCAGACTATTAGGACAATGTTATAAAAGTATTTCTACAAGAGACTTTTTACTGAAGTAATTTATTAATATTAAGAACTAGATTATGCCCACTCTTTAATTACATAATTCAATTCTAGGAATTTACATGTGTAGAAGTAATCAGAGATGAATACCTACCCAGGAAAAATAAATACTTAAAATCCTGGGTGCATATCCTTCAGAAACCTCTATAGTTTCTTTTAAAACAGCAACAAACAAGATCACATTGGACTTACTATTTTGTAATACCATTTTTATTTTTATTTCACCATATAAAGTGAATCATCCCTACCCATGGTTCATGGAAATTTCTACTAATCCTGAGGTTTTGATTTTTAAATGACATGGCTCTACTGGTGTTGGTAGCAGACATGTTAAACCGATAGGGGTCATCACTCATCATTTCGAATTTCACACTTATAACTGAGAAAGTGCCTATGTCAATGTGAAATGTTATTTAAGAAGTAATGAAAAACAAAGGACCTTAGCTTATAAAGGGTCATTTCTTTTCATATTTTATGAACTTCAAATAAACTTTTATTCTAGCATAATAAAATATTTAACAGTTAATCCCTTTAGACATCTTTTACAGGTATCATTAGGGGACCATATGTGATTCTAAGGTAATAAATTTGAAAAATACACATGATCATTCAAAAAGTTAAAGCCTATAACTTCTTTTTTTTTGTTTGTTTAAAGAACTATTTTATCTTTATTTATTTATTTTAATTTGACCAGAGTGAAAGGAAGAGGGAAAGTGAGAAAGTAAGCCACCAGGTTTGGGACCCCAACCACAGTTGGCCACGTGGGAGTTCAGCACCCTTAAACACCACGCCACCTGCTGGTCCTAAAGTCTATCATTTCTAAAGCTACGTTATATAAGAAATACTTTACTTAGGAAAATCTTACAATTGGGAATAGTGATATGTTAAAAAGTGTGTGATTCTTGGTTATGGACTAGCCAATTTAACTAGCAAAAGCAGACATTACCTTATAAATTGTCTCACACAAAAAAATTTTTTTGTCCCCAACTGATGATCAGTAAGAGTGGTGTGCTAAGCTACACTGTGAGGTACAGCACATTGATCCTACTGTGCCCAAACTTCCTACAGTTGCACCTTTCACTTCTGAAGGTAAGCAGTACTGTCGACCAGTACAAAGTCAGAGGAAGTATTTAGAGTAACTCCACACCAAGAAACAGGAAGAAGGAAAGGGATTGATGATAATAAAGCTGAGTTGTTTGTTCCCCAGCACTTAGGAAATAAAATAATGCAATCTAGAATGCTTCTAAAGGGAAAGTATGTTAAGAGTTTTAATTAAATAAAGCAAATTAAGTTTTTTTTTTTTTTTTTTAAATGGTATATGTACTGATGGAAGAGACAGAGAAACAGAGGCAAAGTGAAGAATTGCTCCCCCCCAGGGTGGTAGATGGGGATGACTACATTGCAATCCCTTCTCCTCCATTCTCCTCTCATGTTCCCAGTGTTTTTTTTTCCAAGCTGCAGGGTATGGTATTTGAACTGTATAGCCAGCCACATAGGATCCAGTTGCCTTAACCACTATGCCACTGGGCTGGCCCACAAATTAAGATTTTTCAATTGTTCTTTATTTTTCTTTCTTTATTTATTTTTGGAGAGGTTTTTGCTATAGGCCACGTGTGCTCACCAGAAAGACAGAGAGAGACAGAAAGTGAGAAATCACCCCCCAGGGGGCATGGCCATGCCGTAATCCCTTCTCCTTCATTCTCCTCTTGGGATCTTGGGCATGTATGCATATGCGCCCTGTGTAAGTTTAAGCCACCATGGTGATCTGGGTCTTGAACTGCAGTCGACTACATGGGAGCCCAGTGACATGGCCATTATGCCATCTGCTGGTCCCTAAATTGTTCTTTATTAATATTACATTAATAATAATAATATGATGTTATTTTCTTATTCAAATAAAGAATCTAAATAGACATAATTTAAATAAAGAAACCTACATTATGCAAAGTGTTGTAATATATCCAAAGAGAGGGAAAAAATTCCTCATACTCAACCAACTTATCAAGAAATAAAACACGAATAAATAACGTCCACATAAAATACTGTAAGTGAACATTATAAGGATGATAAAAGTATAGAGGAAGTTCAGGAAAAGAAAAAAAAAACTTTAAAGAATTTTTAAAATTTAACTTTATTTTTAATTTTGACCAGAGAGGGACAGAGTGAGCAAGTGACTGAGAGAGAGAGAAAAAGGGAAGGAGGGAGGGAGGGAGGGAAAGTGAGAAAGCAAGCCGCCAGATCTGGGACTTGAACTGCAGTTGGCCATGTGGGAGTCCAGCACTCTTAATCTCCATGCCACCGACTGCCACCCCCTCATTTTTTTTAAAAAGGCTTTTGCCATAGGGTGTGTGAGTGCTTGCCTTGCCAAGTTGGGGGGAGAGAAAAAGGGAGAAATCAACTCGTTCCTCCAATCAATCCCCCCATGGCCACATCCAATCCCTTCTCCTCCATTCTCCTCCTGGGATATTGGGCCCCTAAGCACACGCACTTGGTGTGATTTTTAAGTCACCGAGTCTGTGACTTGAACTGTGGTTGGCCATGTGGGAGTCCAGTGATGTAACTGCGACACCAACGGCTGGCCCCCCCAAATCTTTTTTTTCCTGAAAATATGTCAACATTTAATGTTCAGCTCTGAATAACTAACTCCACTTATTTTCTAAATTTGGCCTTTACAAATCTTTCTCATTATAAAATGAATATTTATGTAAAATATGTCTCAGACTTACCTTAAAATGTTCCAATAAAAATTAAAACTAGGGGCCAGCAAGTGGCATGATGGTTAAGGTGCTGGAATTCCCACATGGCCGACCACGGTTCAAGTCCTGAACCAGGCAGCTTGCACGCGCGCTCTCTTTCTCTGGCAAAACTCATGTGAAAATAAAGAAATAAAATAATTAAAAAAAATAAAAAATAAACACATACAAGGTAGATAAAACAAGTAAGGGATGCTATTTTTTTGAAGTAATTATTTAATTTAACTTTACTTATTTATTTGACCAGAGAGGGACAGAGTGAGTGAGTGAGTGAGTGAGTGAGAAAGAGAGAGAGAGAAAGTGAGAAAGCAAGTCGCCACGTCCAGGACTCAAATCACAGTTAACCATGTGGGAATCCAGTGCCCTTAACTGCCATACCTCCTGCCAGCCACAGGATGCTACTTGGTACTGAAGGGTTTAAGAGAGTTTGTTATATACTAAGGTATATTTGCAAATCTCTATAACAAAAAGAAAAAAAAAAGTATTTTTGAGAAGAAACCAAATCAATAAACGGTGACTCTGACGCAGACTATCTATACATTACAATAGAAAAAGCACAAACATAAAAATCACTTAAAAGTGTCTTAATGTAAAGCCAAAGACTAAAAAAATGAAATGGAAAGTCAACCTATAATTTCATTACCACAAAATATGAATTCTACTTAAAGTACTTTATTTATTCCAATTTACAAAGACTTTAGACTTTCACTATCTTATTAATTTTCTGAGTATATGCTAAATAATTCATTATGCAGCAGTTCCATTATTCTAAATAGATTAAGTTCATTTTTTCAATTAATGTACTTTTACAAACTTGAGGGTAATAAAAAAAAATCAAAATGACATAAAGCCCAAATGAAAACAAAGGCATAAAAACAGAGTCCTGAATTAGACATATAAAGATAACCTCATATTCTTAAATATAATTTAAAAATCTTTTTGTTTCTAATATTTATTACTTGAGTAAATTCAAAGTGTACTAACTAAATGGTCAACCTGTCAACAGTTATGAGTTACCAATGCCCTGTATTTTCTAACATGTATACTTACTTGCTGTTTTAAAACCAGGTTCTTCACTCCTTCCATCACAAACTGTGATCCTGTGTTCATGACTCGTGATAAGAGACTACATGGGGCAAAAGAGAAGAAGGATCGCTCTAAATACAGATTGTCTCTCAAATCTTTTACAGTTAAGATATTTACTTGATTACACACCACATGCTCATGTTCACTGTACCCACCACCTTGGTTTGCACAGGGCCTTAAGATATTCTGCTGCCATGGATATCACTGCTGCTGATGTGGAGCAACCCAAGGCTGATAACTGCCTGAACCTTCTGTTCTGATATGGAGAAACTTGTGAGCAACCTTGAAGCAACATAAAAAAAAATCAAAATGACATAAAGCCCAAATGAAAACAAAGGCATAAAAACAGAGTCCTGAATTAGACATATAAAGATAACCTCATATTCTTAAATATAATTTAAAAATCTTTTTGTTTCTAATATTTATTACTTGAGTAAATTCAAAGTGTACTAACTAAATGGTCAACCTGTCAACAGTTATGAGTTACCAATGCCCTGTATTTTCTAACATGTATACTTACTTGCTGTTTTAAAACCAGGTTCTTCACTCCTTCCATCACAAACTGTGATCCTGTGTTCATGACTCGTGATAAGAGACTACATGGGGCAAAAGAGAAGAAGGATCGCTCTAAATACAGATTGTCTCTCAAATCTTTTACAGTTAAGATATTTACTTGATTACACACCACATGCTCATGTTCACTGTACCCACCACCTTGGTTTGCACAGGGCCTTAAGATATTCTGCTGCCATGGATATCACTGCTGCTGATGTGGAGCAACCCAAGGCTGATAACTGCCTGAACCTTCTGTTCTGATATGGAGAAACTTGTGAGCAACCTTGAAGCAACCCAGAGCTGATAGCTGCCTGGGCTTTCTGTTATCCCGTGAGCTAGCTGCTTCTCCCCTGAACTGTTGAGCACCGGAGGCCTTGAGCACATTGGATTCCCTGCTTCTCTGCCAGCTCTGTACTAGGGCAGACACTGATCCCTTCCCTGATAGGACACCTCAAGTGTGCTGAAACTGCCCCTCCCCAATTCACTCATAAAAGACTATGTCCAACTCTCAGCTGGGGCTGGAGAGTCAGAGTGTTAACTCCTCAGTGCCCGCCGACGTAATAAAATAGTTCTCCTATCTCTCTGAGTGCTGTTTCCATTCCTCGGCATCTGGTTTTCTTCAATACTGCCATTTTAGTTAACAATAAAATGGTAATAAAATACTTGGGTTAGTCTATCATTATTAAAAAATAGAGTTGTCCTCAAAAAAATCAACATTTTAATTGGATAGCCTTAGCTATAATTTTTTGGCAGATTTGAGAATTCCTTGACTTCTTATTGCCTTAATGCTAAAACAATAAAATTAAAAATAGAATTCAGACAACTCGCTTTAGTTCAAAACACACTAACATACTAGAAATGCATGCTGTAAATATCATGAGTAGGTCCATGAGTAGGTCAAATGCCTCTGTGTTTCTTGTATCACAGAACCTGGACCCAACCCTGCATTGTGTAGTATATACGGCCTCCCTCCTATATACATAAAATGTATCATATAAAAACATGAAGGGCAATATACTTCATGAATTTTGTATGAATTCTGAAGAATGTTTATTGCCTGAATTTCTAACAACAAAACTTAAAACAACAAAAATAAGTTGCCATACTGAGTTTATATTGTTTAAATGTCAATAGTTTCTCTTAGGGGATGTGATCAAAAGATGCTTTCCAGGACAGAAGAGCTATCCTGTATTATAGTATTAGAAAGTTAGGGATGGCCTTCTATCATCTGAGATTTCTGTTTACCTTCTTTTTTTTCGCCCAATGACAGAGGATGCATGTATATAGGAGGGAAAGGCACGGTGAGAGAAAGAGATTGGTACCATTCTTTTTTTTTTCCCTCCCTTAGAGTCTGTTATGATCCTCTGCTCCACCTTCCAGTTGGCTAGGATTATAATGGTGCACCTCCACACCTATCACGTTCAGGTTGGTCCAGGATCTGAACTCAGGCATCCCATGTGGCTGTGGCATTAAAGACTGGCACTCTAACATTTACACCACTGAGGCTAGACCATGTACAATATTCTTATAGTACATTTTATTAAATTTCCAACTAAAAAATCAGTAAGAGATGCGATAGGTTTTCTGGGGGATAAAAGGGGACAGGATTGGGAACCAGCAGTTAGCATAATGGCTATGTCGCTGGACTCCCACAGTCGACCGTGGTTCACGTCCCGGACCCGGTGGCTTAAAACTCACGCTGGGCGCGTGTGTGTGCGTGCCCAAGATCCCGGGAGCAGAATGGAGAAGGGATTGCGGCATGACCATCCCCCCTGGGGGAGTGATTTCTCGCTTTCTGTCTCTATGTCTACAGCAAAAACCGCGCCCTATAGCAAAAACCTCTCCAAAAAAAAAAAAAAAAAAAAAAAAAGGGGGGGGGACAGGATCTTCCTTTGTTGCTCACAGTGGCCTGGAACTTGTGATCCTAATTCTTCAGCTTCCCAAGTTGCTGGAACTAAAGGCACACTCCACTGTACCAGTTGTTAATAAGTTTTTAATATTCAATATGGTTTTAAGACATAAAACTGGGAAATCTGTTTTATTAAATACATGAGAGTAATTTTCTAAAAATATTTTCTTTTTCCCTGCCTTGTCTTAACTCCTCTCTGAAATGAAGAGATGGACAAGGTGGAAATCCTTTCATTGAAAGAAACAAGAGAAAGCGATCTTTGCTGGGATCAATGGCTCTGAGGCAATTCTTGGCACCTGACAACTCTGACCTCTGTGCTACCCTGCTCAACACTATCTGAGGGTACCAGCAGCTGGATTCATTTTCTAAACTGCTTATAAGGTTCTGCTTTAGGTCAAGTGCTTTTGTTTTTGGAACTTGTTTCATTAAAACCAGTAGCTTAGGGGCCTGCAGGTGGTGTGGTGGTTAAGGTGCTGGACTCCCACACGGCTGATCACGGTTTGAGCCCTGGACCTAGCCGTTTGAACATCAGGCTGAGGGCATGTGCATGTATGCCCAAGATCCCGAGAATGGAGGAGATGGAACTGTGGAGTGGCCATCACCCCTGGGAATGATTTCTCACTTTCCCTCCTTTTGGTTGAGTGCATGAGCCCTGTGGCAAAATCTAAAAAACAAAACACAACACACAACCTGTAGCTTAGTGTGGAGATAAAATAAATGTTTTCCCCTGGGCTTCATGCTTTTGTTCCAATTCTAAATATTAAGCTGGGAGTCTGACACTCATATAGTATGGGTAAGGACAGTCAGAACGACTTTAAACCGCTTTTTAAGTCACACACAGGTACTCTATAGGACTCTAGCCCTGTGAACTTCCTATTTATCAGTTAACACTATTCCTGGATCTATCTTGGAGCCAGGTCTAGTATAAAAATAGTTTTAACAGGGGCTGGCAGGTGGCATGGTGGTTAAGGGCACTGGACTCCCACATGGTCAACTGGGGTTCAAGTCCTGGATCTCACCTTCTCTCCCCCACAACCCGGTCAAATAAAAATAAATACATAAATAGATAAAGTTAAATAAAATAGTTTTTTAAAAAATAGTTTTAACATTATGAAAAGGATAAATGTAATGTTTTAAGAACAAAGAAGCACACAAAGCCAATAGTTCATATGATGTAAAATATATAAGCCTACATTTTAAAGGAAGAATTTTAACCATCTAAAAGAAGTGAAAGGCATATTCTATCCTGTATTGTAACAAAACATTATGCATTCAAAGTTTCAGATACTGCATTTTTAAGGTCTGTACATCTAATTAAGGTTTAGGGGACAAAGATTCAACCAAAATTACTGAAAATACTTACCCCATTGGCTTAGTGGTAGTGTTGCCATAGCTGGCAGGAGCTGAGGCCATCTTGGCAAAAGCCCTATGAAATAAGGATGTTATACTTAAAAGCTGATTATTAGTGCTAACATTTAGTATCAGGGTGTTAAAGTACCTATTGACTAACTCTAATATGCAGACATTTTCTAAAAAGAGAAGTATGTTTTCAGCTAATGACCATATTGCTATTAATACTGAAATATTGAGATTCTTTAAAAAAACACAAACACGGAACCAGCAGTTGGCACAATGGCTATGTCGCTGGACTCCTGTGTAGTCAACTGCAGTTTGAGTCCTGGACCTGGTGGCTTAAACTCACACCGGGTGTGTGTGCATGCGTGCAAAGATCCCGAGAGGAGAATAGAGGAGAAGGGATTGTGGCCATCCCCTGGGGGGTCATTTCTCGCTCTCTGTCTCTGTCTTTCTAGCAAGTGCACAGGCCCTATAGCAAACCCCCTCGCCCCCCTCCAAAAAAAGCACATTGGTTTCCCCTACTATACAATTTATCTTCCTTTATTTATATCTAATCATTAAAGAAAAAAATACGTTGCTAATCATTAAAGAAACTGCTGACTGAAATGGTAACAATTATATTTAGTTTCTTCACTGTTCCACATATTCTATATTCCCTTATTTCCAGATACATGTCTGTGTTCATTATGTTCTGTGGGGAGTATAATCTCACTACCTTCCTCCATAGAAACTGCACATATCCCTTTAAGACTCAGTTCAAAACCATTTCATGAATTCTGCTATCCAGTGATTTTTCCCCTTTGGTTATATTATGTATTAAAATCTTTATACTTAATTAGATAGTCGTTTATTTTCAAGCTTTCTAAATGTCTAGGTGCTATCAAAACTTTAAGATTGGGGAAATAGCAGATGGCCCAGCAAATGGTTATGTTGCTAGATTCCGTTGTGGTCAGCCACAGTCCGAGTGCTGGGCCCAGTGGCTCAAAACTCACCCTGGGTGCACGAGTGGCCATTCCCCTCTAAGGGAGTGATTTCTCACTTTTTCTCTCTTTGTCTCTCCGGTGAGCTCAAGTGCCTTATAACAAACCTCCCTCTAAAAAAAACAAAAGACAAAACTGTAAGATTGTTAGAAGTTAGGCAGAGAAAGCTCAAACATAAAAACTGCAATCATGTTAAGAAAGGAGGACATGAATCAACTGTTTAAGCAGTAGATTGGAATTACTGCCTTAATAAAAATTTGCCAGAGACAACGAAAGCAAGAAATCGACACCCCCCAGGAATGGAGGGGGAGGGGATGGTCATGTCGCAGTCCCTCCTCTCTTGGGATTTTGGGCACACACACACACACACACACACACACATGCCCCCAGCATGAGTTTTAAGTAGCTAGGTTCAGGACTTGAACAGTGGTTGACAACATGTGAGTCCAGCAACATAACCATTATGCCATCTGCTAGTGCTCTGGACAACAAAAATGGATTAAATAAATAATAGTACATTTGTATGGCTGAATATCACTCAAATAGTAAATTCTACCATGGGAGACTATTTAAAGACAACAACAACAAAAAAACCCCTAACATAAACATTTTCAGAAATTAGAATACAAAACTGTGCTAATGAATGCCCCCTTAAAATTTGTATACAAAAAGGATGGGTGTGTACTAGCATTTATCTGTACTCTCTGGATGGTGAGGTTACAGGTAAATTTTTATTTTCTTAGTACCTTTTGAGTTTTCATAAATTTTCTTCAATAAAGTGATAGGACTCTTAGAATTGGAAAGAAAAATAAATGCTACAAGTTAGAGATTATATGTTTTAACTACATAAAACAATGCCCAAGACTTTTTCCTTAAAAGTCCAAATATTAAAGAGGTTCACATAAATGATAATATAGAAAGAATGAAATATGCTATCTAGCCAAATCTGTAAGTGAATGTATTATAAAAATTGGAGAAGACAGTTTTCAGTTTAGGATATGTGCATTCAATGTATTCCTCAGGGAGAGGGGGAGATGGGGGAAGGAGGAGGAAGGGGAGAGAGAAGAGGGAGGAGGAAGAGGGGGATGGAGAAGAGGAGAGTGGGAGGGAGAGAGGGACTCCGCTAGTGGGGTAGTCAGCTATAATTCTTTTCCCTCCATTTCTCTAACCTGTCAGGATGTGCATGGTATATTTTCCAGCCACTGAGGTTAAGATCAGACTGCGGTTGGCCATGTAATTTAGCTGTGTGTGCAGAGCACTTAACTGTTGCACTAGAGGGCTGTCTCTACACAAAGGTTTGTTTTTTCCCTATTATAATAACATGGTCAAATGAATGAAAGAAAATCTGAATAACCAAAAGCACAGATAGTAAAAAGGTACTCTTAAACTGGAGCACTCCTCAGAGATAACCACTGTTAAAAAAAAAAAGAAAAATACCTAAAAGGAAAAAATTCTACCACCTGGAGTCACCAACATTTAGGTGCATGTTGTTCCAGCTATGCAATCAACTGCATACATGTGTGTACTGATATTCACACATACACATGGATGGGTAATAGAGGATCACACTATAGAAAATGCCATCTAAATTTTGGGTCAGATGTAAATTACCCAATGGTGATTTTCCCTGATTGCTTAAACAAATTTACCTATCACTCTCAACAAGATTTTAAAAAATTATTTAATTTTATTTATTCATTCACTTATTTTCATTTGCCCAGAGAGGCCGGGGGGGGGGGGGGGGGG